CTCTCTCATCACTGATGTTTCTATCTCCCTCCCCCTTCCTCTCTGAAATCAATTAAAACGAATACATAAAATAAAATACATTAAAAAAACAACAACAAACTATCAGAATTAACTATATACACAGCCCAAAAGTTATACAAACGTATTAGGTCCAAGGCAATCTATTTTTTTTTAATAAGTACTTGCCTGGGTAATGTAACTGTACAAAGAAAGTTACCTAGATTCAAGAATTATAAGCATATAACCTAAAAAAGTTTGTCAGTGGCTAATATTCAATGTAAGGGCATGGATTCTGTAAGTAACCAAAAGGGTAATTCCAAAGCAATAGCAACAAATCAATTTATCAAATCAGTCATATAAATCTAAGATACCAATACTTTAAATTTCTCTGGAAGGCCTATATTCCCAATCATTTTCCCCTAGAGTATGGAAAAATCTGTGGTAAAACTTCTTAAAGAGATGATCATCAATGAAGTCATATAGATAAAACAAAGATTTGCCTGTAATTTTAAAAAAGCAGAGATGAGTATTCACTTTACTCACTGAAAATTTTTTATTATTTTCACCTTATTTATCTTTCATTTTTGTCAAATAAAAAAAGCAACAGTAAAAAGGCAGACACCAAAAACAAGAGTAAGCGTAACAACGTGAAGTTACATAGGTAACCACTGAAAACAGTCACATGTAGCATTACTGACTGGCTTATACTGCAGGAGAGTATCTGTGTTTCATTCATTCAACAAGTATTTTACTGAGCACCCATAATGTGCCAACAACTGTGCTCAGCATCTATAGAATTCTTTAAAAGTACAAAACATAGGCCCTGCCCTCTAAGAGCTTACAATCTATTACTTGTTGGGAAGACAAAGCAAATAAACCTTAAAACCAAACAAGTCAATAATGAAGTGCCAAAATAAGTGAAACAGTAAGAGTTCTTAGGCTGATTACATAGGATATTATAATAATTTGAAGGGGAGGTGTACACTGGACAAAGATTGCTGAGGACCTCCTGAAGAAGGTAGGACTTGAAGGGCAGAACTAAGGTAAGTAAAGTTCATGGTGGTAATGAGCTGGGGGCAGGAGGGCAAGAAAGTGACAGCATGAGCTCACTCTGAACTAATACAACACTCAATATACCATGAAAAGACCAGCCTAGGTTCAGATTATGGAATGTGAAGACATGCTGCTCAGAATTGCACTTTGAATTATACTATCCTTGAAAGTTAAATTTAGATATTATGCTACAGGCACAGAAAAGCATTGGGGGTTCTTGGACAAGAAGATAACACATTGAAATCTAAGAAAATTTTTTGTGGGGTAGGCTTGAAGTAAGAAAACCAGCTAAAAAGTTATTTACTAAGAGTATCCAACCAAAGACAGGACTGTAACAACTTGGGCTCACATGACAGCAAGAATAGCAATAAGATCTGTAAAGCCTGCCTTAACCCAATAAAAGAAGAAAATAAAACTCCTCGGTAAAAAGTAATTACTTATTTATGTTTATTGAACAAAAGCAAAAAAAAAAGTACAAAATAATTAGAATTAAGGCATTACTAAAATAATTTTATTTTTATTTCCTTATCATACAATCTCTTACATATCAGCTACTCTTATCAAGTAATTTGAATTGAATCAGACTGTTAGAGCTGAAAGGGACCTTAAATCTTTTACTCTACTCTTATTAAAAAAAAACAAAAAACACAAAAATTAAGTATTAAAAAGAAAAGAAACAAAGCCAGCTAGGACTCCCTCCTTAGGCTTAAGTGAAGGCGAATCATCTGTGATAAAGATGGAAGAACTTGCATGTCCTTTGTATAGAAATAACAAACACTTTAAAGGCAAAACATTACCGACTATAGATACAGAGGAAGAAGAGGGCCTCACACATAATTATGTCTTAATTCAAGTGTCTTCTGAAAATTTGAGTACTGCCATCCAGCAGAAAAATTACTTTATTAATATGGTTTTTAAAACCAGTGAAACCATTACTTAATTCACATACTATTTTAAAGTTTATAACACTTATAAGGTCCCTTCCAACTGTAAAATCCTACAATTCTATGAAAGTAGAAGCATAACTTTCCCATATGAAATTAATGTACAGTAAGAAAAGAGGCAAATTTAACCTACAGGACAGAAAAACTTTAAAGAAATTTTGAGCTCCACTGATAATTCAAATATTTGTTACTAAAAGATTCAGGCTGAATTCTAAAAAGGGCATTCCGGATTATCTCTTGAATAAAAAATAAAATAAAATGAACATAATACTTTAATTTAAATTAACTTGCTGCATTTGAAAAATTATAAACTCTGGCTTCTATAGATTGTTATTCTGTCCAGTCTGTATATTAGTTTACAAATAAGGTTTAAAATTTCATGTTATGTTCCATAACATATCACAGACCATAATCATTTAGAAGACTGCCACCAATTTTAGTCTTCAGCTGGTCCCAGAATGAGACCTTACAGTGAACTAGGCAATGTAGATGAAGGTTCCATAACTGTCAGTACCAACATCTAAAGAATTTGTGAATTCATTTTTTAAAAATTGGATGGGCAGGATACTACCAACATTGTGTCACTGCAGTGAACTTACAAGCAACCCTACTTCTCATTATCTTCTGACCACTTACTACTCATTAATACGTCTGAGAGTGGGTCAACAGAAGAAATGATGCAGAAAATTATCAATTTTTATTTTTAAGGTAGTTTACAGCTCTTTAAGTTAGATTTCCAGATTACTTGAGTATTGAAATTACCCATGCCCTCCCAGTCTATTATCAAAGCTAAAATAAGAATTAGTTTTACCAAGACTTGAACCCAATATTTGTTAGTTAGATATTAAGAGGAAAAAAGAGGAAGAATCTTATTTTAAGGAAAAACAATGGGGATTCTCTTGGGACCCTCAGAGCTAGAATCCTAAGACATTAATTATCTTAACAGTAGCCACAGGGAGAGACAGACTTCTAAACATTTAAATAGTCAGGTACACTTAAAGTCACATGGCGTATACTAGTCTGGGGAAAAAAGTAGAAGAAAACCACAAGGTGAACTTCAGAGTACATGAATGGATGTGTACCAAGTAGCCAGTAACCTTACTAGGAAAATGGTCACTAAAGTAACTAAAGAGAAAGGGCCATAGTGCAAATTGTGACCAGCTTATGTCAATGAGATACACAGAAGTACTTAAAAAATAAAATAAAATCTGCAATTTACTAGAAATGACTAGCTGGTATCTTAGTTTTGGTAGTGCAATAGCACCATTACAGCAAGGGTAAGCAGGTCAATCCCTTGCAAAACTTACCTTGATTGGCCCAATGGAAACAGAAGGCCCCAGAAAAGAGAGAAGCATCTGGCAGTAGCAAATTGTTTTATTTTATCTTTCTGTGGAAAGAAACTAATTTTAAATAAGAACCAGAGCATTTAAAGAATAAATATTTTTTAAAGCTCATTATCTAGTTAGAGCAGCTCTACTAAGAAAACAAGAAGAGCTCCTTGCTGCTTAGAGATGGAAAGAAACAGAAGAGGAATCAAAGTTGTTTCTCCATCACCTAGGGAGTTTTAAAACTTGTGATATTCTAGAGCAGAGGTGAGGAATATCCAGCCCTCAGGCATTATAAAGCCCTGGAAATCATTTGGTCTGGCCCTGCCAAGGCATTAGAGGTGAGTTAATTAAATGTTTGATCAAATATAGCAGGGTAATTTTTAAGTTGATAATTTTGTATGGCCTGCAAATGATGTTATAAATATCCAAATGGCCCTTGGCAGAAAAAGGTTCCCCACCCCTGTTCTAGAGTAACAGAATAAATGATTCTTTTATTTAAAGAACTCCTACAGGCAGAATCTTTGGGCCTTGTGCCTTTGAATAAAGATTTTTATACAAAATTAAGGGCAATATTCCACATAAAAAAAGAAAAGCACCTGACATTAAGCCCCTCTACTCTTAAGGTAGAGAGACACAGAGCAAGCTCCTTCTCCACTACAATTTCACCAATAACTTAAAACTATCAAGGCTTAACTGCTTATCAAAGTAAACTATTAATTAGCAGAGTTCATACCTAATTGACTGGCTTTCCAAAATATTTCATTATCCTAAAGTTTTGATGATTTATTGAGATACTCAAATGGAAAGAAGCCAGTCACCAAACTAATTTTAAAAATGAAAGCATTGAAATATTTTTTAAAGCTCATTATCTATTTAAGAGCAGCTTTACTAAGAAATATTAGAACCTAACGGGCATAAAATTATTCACAGTAACTAAACCTGTTACTTTTCTTGAATGCTTCTCTAGGAACTCAGTTCTATTGAATTCACTGAGCCAAATCAAAATCTTTTGATCCAAATCACTCCCACAAAATGTCAGCTTTCAATTTATGCTGGAGATGGAAGGGACAGCTCAAAGCAGGAGTGCAGAAGCAATAAGCATTAAAAGAAAACAACAACACAATAGTATAAGTGGAAAATGAACTACCTATTTGGCACTGTCCTATTAAGAATCAAATTAGAGTAGAACATACCCACCTCCACACCCCCACACACACATATACAATGAGGAAGCTATTTCAGAAATAAAATTCATTTAAACAGCCAAAGACCTAAACAATTGCAATTTTCAGATTCTATGCATTCACATGGTCCCCCGATAGAAATTATGTTGACTTATCAGATGTTTATTCTTAGAGCATTAACTTCAATTGACATACTTGTAGGAAAAAGTCATTAAACTAAAAAGCCTACATTTACAGTGTTACTTTTAAATTAATTTTAAAAAACCACACAACCTCTTAGTTTTGTTGCAGTGAAAGTAGTTATTTTATACAGAAGACTTCATATATTCAAAATGGTTAGTGTCATGATTCAACATTTCACTTGTTTGAAAACATTACTTCGACATAAACTAATCCTTAAAAAACTACAAGTTTTGACCCAGATTTTGAAATCTTGACACAATAATACAACAGGCAAAAATAAAAGCAAAATAAAACAAAAACATTCTTACTTGTCCCATTGGTGGACCTCCCATTGGGGGCATCATTTGTGGCATCATTCCATGTGGTACAGGAGGCATATTCGCTCTTTGCCCCATAGGGTGCATTCCCATTGAGGCATAATGAATGCCAGGATGCCCCATCTGAAAAGTAAGGACAATTTAAAAACGAACAAGTAACAATAAATACTTTTCAAAAAATCTGATTTCAACAAATCAGTTAAATGCAGCGATGTAACATTAGGCTAAAGTGTGATTTAATTATTAGGGTTCGTTTATACGTTCTTATCTTAAACAAAATGCACGTCACCAATACTTATAATGAGCTGTAACTAACCAAATCCCAGAACAATAGGTAAAAAAATAATCATTACTGGACAGTTAGATCTTAGTTTTAAAGCACGCTGATTTAATCACTTGCTAATTGACTTGCTAAGTTCAGAAGTCTAAGAAAGCCATTTAAAAATTGTTATGAAAACAACTTTGTCCTATATCACACAGATACAAGACAGACAGCTATTGTTTAAAGCCACTTATTCTTAAATTTATTTCTAAACTGATTTTTAAGCTTTAAAACGCTGAAATTACCAAATTAACTCAGATGAGGGCTGGTCTTATAAAACACAAATAGGGGTATCCAGGGACACCTCACTCCTAAAAAAATACACATACTACTCTCAAATATAATCTTTAGACGGGTAGAAGTACTTCTGCCAAAAAAAAAAAATTCTTATTCCAAAACTGAGGTCTGTCATTCACACGACATGCCAACAATTCACCCATTTTAATGCGCTTTTGTAAGACAACTACCGCCTTTACCTGTGTGTCCATTGGTTCCAAGTCTTAAAACCAGCTAATTATCGCCTGCAAATTCTCCCAGCTGTGCACCCTACAGATCTACAGATACCCCCACCCGTCTTGGCGGACTCTTAAAGCCTAGAGAACCCAGTCGCCGCCTCCCCCTCCCTCCTACCTTGGGCCTGCCCCTCCGAGACGCTCACCGCGCTCAGGGCCCAGCACCTCCGCCGCGCATCTGTCTACGCCGGGCCCGCTGGAAACTTCCAGGGTCCCGCATCTTTCCCTTTGTGCATCCCCGCCCTCCATTTCTCTCCTTCGGGGCACGTCCCATCTCGAGCTCTTCCTCCGTTCTCTCTCCTCCTTTTGGAGAAAGCTTCCTGTCTCTGTTTTTCATTGTGCCGCTCCGATCCCTTACCGAGGGCCGTCTCCTCAGGAAGCCGTCAGAAGAGACCCAAGAGCTGGAGCAGAGGCTTGAGCCGGACAATCTCCGCTCCCCGTCCCCAGGACCCTGCGCGGGAGGATGGCTCTCCATTTCACTCACCATGAGGCCTCCACGCTCGGCTCCCGTCCCCGGCCTCATCATCGGGCTGTGACTGCTCCGCCGGCGGCCACTGCCGCTGCATATGCCAACAAGAAGCGATCTGAGTGGCTGGCGCCCGCTGGGGCCAAAGGTTAAAGGCTGCCCGGCACTACGGGGCGGGATCAGCGGGGCCAGTAGGCTGACAGGCTTTCCCGCTGTCCAATCAGAGTGCGCTTCCGACACGCAGCTCTGCGGCGATTCGCCCCCTGCCTCAGGCTCACTCGGCGTCGCCTGCATGGAGGGGGGGATAAGGGGACGGAGGAAGTTTCTGCGCCGAGTCCTCTGCCGGAAAAACTCCACCAACTTCCCCCCGGGAAGGGCAGACTACTGTGTCCCAGCTCTCCGAGCTTAGCCCGCCTCACCCCGTAGGGGGTGGGGCAGTGGGGACCTGCCACCTTCACCCCCCCGCCCGACTTACGTATGCCCCACAAACCTGAGGCCGCCAGGGGTAGGGTGGGGTAGGTGGGGTGGGGTAAGAGGCTTCTAGCGTTAGCGGGGGGCCCGGGGACCGACGGCGCGCGCGCGCGCGCGGGTGCTTGAGGCGGAGGGGAGGGGGAAGGGGGAGGGGAGGCCGAAGGAGGGGGTCTAAGGAGAGGGCTCGATCTCCGTACGCACCAGCTGGAGAGCGCGCGCCTGGGCGGGGAGTTGGGGGTGGAGGAGGCGTGTCGAGCTGCGTGGAGGGAAGTTGTGGTAGGGGCGGGAGGAACAATGCCAAAGGAAAAGAGGGATGGGAACTTAAGGCGAGGCGAGAGCGCCGACTGGTGAGCTGTCGTTAGTGAGGGACGCCGGGGAAGGGTGCGAGAGTAGAGGGCAGGAAGGGAGAAAGCAGGCAGGTTCGGGAATGTTAATCGAGGTGCACGGGCGGGCGCTAGGACCGGGCATCGGAAAGATGCAGCTTGGGGGCCGACCGTGCCTTCGCTTGCCTGGAGGTGACGCGGCAGAGGCGGAGGTCTCTGGCCGGGACGAGGCGCCGCAGGGAGGGGAGACCCGACTACTCCCTTCGGCCTCGACTCGCCCCTGTCTGCGCGGTCCGGTTCTTCCCTTCCCTCCTCCCGCCTGGGGGTCGTGCTCCGGCCCAGGGGTGTCCAACCTCTCCTCGAGCCCCATGGCACCTGCCCAGCCCCACTCGCACGCTTG